TATATATATATATATATATATATATATATATATATATATATAATATATTTATATATAATATATTAATAAAAAGAAACAATAATAAATTAATATATATATATTATATACCGTCGTAACAAAATATCAGTCTAACGGATGATAATTTCACGCGACTTTTCCCGATCACGTTTTCGCACCGTTACTCCGAACAATGCAATAGAAATAAGAACAACCGACTCGTCGACCCCTCCGAATGGGATTATCCCATTGTGTCGCCTTTCCACCGACGAACTGTCTCGTTTCGGAGATTCTCGAACATCCGCGCGGTGTCCGAGAGTCTGCGTTGCGACCAATCGAGTCCGGGCAAAAAAAAGAAAGAAAGAAAGAAAAACCAGAAAATCTCGAATAGCTGCCCCCGGGTAGCCTAATCATCCCCGGCGGTCAACTACGATTAATCAGAGTCCTGTTGCATTTTTTTCTTTCAGTTGCCGCGTAACCCTGGTGTGATTGGTGGCGAAATCGGACGGGGTGGAGAGGCGAGGCGGGGAGGGCGGGTTCAAGCAGGTATCGGTCTGGTTGTAAGAGTAAACTGCCCATAGGATGAACAACGAGCAGCCGTATGAGCCCCCATTGAATCCTGAAAATACGCCTAGGGTGCTGAGTCTGGATCCGGCCGAGGGGCCGCTTCGGGAGCCGCCTGGGATGGATCATCTGTTGTACGTGCAATTGGGAAGCCTTATCCGCAATCAGCGGGAAGTACGACTTGGGATATTGCCGGAGAAGCAGACTCCGTTCCTTCGTTCGCTGGACAACAAGGTCAAGTCGTACGTTAGATTTTGCAACACGACCAGCCACGTGGTGGCGTTGTTTTGGATCGATTACGAAGGCCGGGCTGTCAGGTACGGCACACTGTCGCGTAATAATTGCCTGGACATCGACACGTTCGTCACCCATCCATGGATCTTCGTCGACCAGCAGACGGGGGACAGGTAGGACTCGGGATCCCTATTATTTTTCTTCGACGAGGCAAGACATGTCGAAAGAGAACGATTCGATCGTTCTCTCGATCAACGAGAGATCCGAATCCCCGTCGTCGTTCTCGTTTCTCCGGTCGATTTGCCCGCAGCGATCCCCATCGAACGGCTCGATTTCGAGAAGGAACCGGACGGGGAAAGAGCTGGAACCTTGGTGCTTATCCTCGAATTCGTTGCTAATCGTCATTGGCTGGTTGGCTGACAAGGGTGTCGACGCGTGACGCTCCGACTCGATTGATTCTGTGATTAACAGAGATCCGGCAGGCCCTGGATCGGACGATTTTCGCAGCGATTCCGCTGTTCCGTTGGCTTCTTTTCTTCGGTCTCGTTGTCATGTAATCGAAGAATCTTTGAACTCCTTCAGCCATGGCTAGATTCGTTCGAATCATCGCGCGTCGATTTCCTTGATCGTGCGGCCCAACCTGCCGAAGTTTCCGTCGCTTTCTCCGTTCGACGCGGCGCACAGTGGGCCCGATCGAAGAATTAGCTGTTCGCAGAAAAATCTAGGTGACCTTATTTTTTCGGTTTTCATTGAACAGAGAAGAATCTCTTTGTAGATTTCCTGACGGCGTTTGTAGATGCAAAAGCGCCGATTACAGTAAATTTTCTCTAATCGATGCACGGATTTTGTACAAAAATGGATAATTTGGGAAAAGGGGACGCGATCATTCTATTACACAGTGAAAGTGGCGGGTTCCTCGGGTCATTTGAAGCAACCTTTTCCTTTACAAAAATTTTCTCCGAGGCGCCATTGACGAGTTATTAACGAAACACAGTGACCAATAAGAGGCTAGCTCAGCTGGCGCGAGGCGACCGAGCCAATGAGCGGAACTGGGCTTCGTGCGCTGGTTGGATGGGCCGCCTCGCGTCAGCCGTACTCGATTCTTATTGGTCACTGTTTTTCGTTAATAACTTGTTAACGGTGCCTCGGAGAACATTTCTGTACAGAAAGAAGTTGCTTCAAATGATCCGAGGAACCCGCTATTTCCGGATTGCGAGACATTTTTGGGACACCCTGTATATATTATATATTATATTGTATTGTATTAATATACATAATATTGATAATATATAAAAAAATAATATATATTATATATATCATACGATTATACTATTTTATAGTTGTTGGCAATCGGTAACTATAAAAACAAGCCGCGGGACTCGACTAATCGCATGATCCCCTCTTCCCAAACGATCTAGTTTTGTGTACAATTTAAGCGTCAATTAGGGAGAATTTACTGTATTCAGACGATCTCACTTGTTAAATATATTGACGCTTTTTGTGTCGGAAGAGCTTTGCAATGAATCGCGCGATTTTTCTTTTCGAAGTAAAATGATCGCTTTATTCGATTCACACATTTATACATTTTCGCAATTGTATCGCGGTATTTTGTATCGGGAAAACTACGATTAATCGTGTAATTATACTTTTCAATGTGCAACGGATGCTTCGTTCAATTAAAATGCTCGAAAATTTTCGGAATTTTTTTTTTTTAAATGCTCGGGCAGTCACGGCAATTAACGGCTAAACCTATCGAGCACTAAAAGTGATCAACATTTGTCGTTTTATAAGAATGTCAAGACCAAATTAATTTAAACGTTTTGCCATTTTTATTATAATGGATCATAATTTATTGTAATTTATTGCAATGTATTATAATGTATTGTAATGTATTATAATGTATTATAATATATCATAATGTATTACAACGCATTATAATGTATTATAATGTATCATAATGTATTATAACGTACTACTATATATCAATCAGGAAATCTACTGAATTATTTCCTACAGAAGAGTCTGAAAAACAGAATCATATAAAACAGCGCCTCTTATTTAATCGCACGATTATACTCTTCGAAGTTCGACTGCCCCGTTCGATAAAATCCACAACTTTCCCAGAAACGTACATACATACGATCATGCTAGTCGATAATTCCTTTCAGAATCAGGCTGACGATACTGTCGCCGTAAAAAAAAAAAATTAGAACAGCGTCGCTATACCGCTTGCCCAATTTGCAGGCAACAGTAGCTTCCGGAACGCTCAAATTACAATCGATCACAAACAAGTTAATTTAGACGTTTCGTCATTTTTATCGTAATGCATTATAATTCATTGTGATGCATGGATACCAGCGTTTCGTCATTTTTATCGTAATGCATTATAATTTATTGTAACGCATGGATACGGGAGATTTGACGTTTCGGCGAATGAACAGCTCCTTCGATCTGGCCCATTGAGAGACGCGGTTGAAAGCGAGTTACGAGGACGGGGATTCGATCTCCGATGTGGACGATGGTAGGATCGATTGCGATTTTCAGGTACGCGGTGAACCACAAGTCGGTGTTCTACCCGGAGCCGCATCGGCTGAATGGAGGCGGCAGGACTCGCGTTTTGATCACAAAGCCGCCGATCTACAAGCTGCGAGATCGGGCTCTCAGAGTGGTCGCGGAACATTTGAGAACACATCTCGACGCCTTCAAGCTCGAAATTCCCGCTGAGCTCCAGTACGAGTTGTCGGTTAAAATATGTGACATGAACTGTACTTGAAATTTTCAATGTTACTCGAAACCCTTTGCGCTCTCGACGCCGTTTAATCTCCGAAATCGCAAATAAGTTGTTCCGATACGAAACACGACGTGCACGTAAAATTGACCTTTTTAAAACGTAAACGAGTTTCATGATGCACAAGTTACCGCGGAACGTGACACGAGTCGAAGCGACGCCCCGGTGTCACTCGAGTGCCAAAAGGGTTGTACACCGAACGGTGGACGCAACGGCTGGAAAGCTGTATCAGATGAGATGTAACGATGCATGTGAAACGTTATAAATGACACTTATTTTCTGTATTATTAAAGATTTTCATGTATAATATGGACATAAATATAACGAATAAAGAATTACGCGATCTTTCGAGTTTATTTGTTATCACCGTTATCACACTTCACATTCGCTTTCGTTAAATGATCGTTTTATTATATTCCTTGTCGTGCGATAGCTTGCGATTTTTCTACGAAATTTTTATTCTAAACGTAGGCGCAGGGCCCGCATTTTCTAGCCATATCACTTTTTACTCTTAATTAGTCAAACACGTGTATAGCATAACACGCGACGGTTATGGGATAGTGAATCGCGTGCACGCGCATATGGAAAGTCCCACATTTGTATCCGAAATAATTATGCGTTCGGAAATATTGCCAAGACGATTAATTTACGATTATTCATATCGCAAAGGTGCATTTGTGAGTTATTTATTCAATTTATTTGTTACTCACGGCAAATGTTACAATAATACTTGTCCAAAATCAGAATAAATGTCATATTGTATAAGCTAATATAAAACAGCTGTTTTTTGTGCTCCGTAAATCTAGCGTTAAAGTGTGCTGGTACAAATTTGCTGGTTGCTCCAAATGAATGAATACAAAGAGAAAAATAACCGGGATACATATATCATCCCGGTTGTTTTATGTATAATTATATAAAAATTATAAAAAATAGTGTTATATATAATAATAATAATAATAATAATAATAATAATAATAATAATAATAATAATAATTAGGGAAGATAATAGGGAGTGTAGGGACAATTACTAACCAGACAATTACTAAAAGTAACATTTTATTGCGGTAATAGATAGAAAATAAATAAAAATGAATGTAAATAAATCAAATGATAAGTAAATAAAAATGAATGTGATAATAAATGTTATCTGAAGCAGTGAACTATAATTTCGCAGCACACCATAAGAGTACCGAGTATCCCGGTTCTAAAAGAACGTCGACAATTTTGTTCATCGACATAAATAGCGACGAAAAACATGAATCCTTAAATTACGACAAATAAGTCTACGACTCGCATATAAGTGACGCGGCAGTGAAAGTGTTAATAAAGGACTGTAACAACGGCAAAAAATAATATAGAAGAACCTTGCTGTCTTGAACGGGAAAGTTGCAAGTTCCAGGGAGTTTTTCCGATCGTGGGCCCGGAAGGGGGGAGGGGGTTGGTTTGCGACGGGATCTCTGGGAAGGGATCGCAGAGATTTCTGTGAAGAAATTTCGACGGAAAATCGCTTCGGCTGGTCGGTAATCCGGCCTCGTTTCCGCAATTCGTAAGTAGAGTTTCCAAGTTATTAAAGCGATTCCTGCTCCCCCTCCCCCCAAGAGATCCTCCTAGGTCCCCCTAGGTTCCTCAGTAATGAACCATGCGAGTCCAAGCCATCCGGGAAACTTTCGTTCGGCACGCTTCCGCCTGGTGAAGCGCATACGTGCGTTGATTAACCATTAACCGAGTTAAATACAACCTCTCCACCCCCGAACACGCCGGCATAAACCGCGCGACCCCGTATTTTCGGGTGTACTGGAAGCTCTCCAACGGGAAATCCACCGCGGATTTCCCCCTCGAAAACGCTGGCCTCTGGATTCGCCAGTCTCTTTTTTTTCCTTCCTCTTTTTGCTGCCAAAATTTGTCGCCATTGACCAACGAAGAAATACGCTCTCCTATTTCGAGCAAAGAATCGACTACGCGAGCGTGCTCGATTCGAAGAAGACTCCTCGATCGTTGTCGAGATATCGTGCCGGCCGATCCGAGAAGCTCCGATGTTTTCACGTTAGAAGTTTGCCATCGAGACGCAATGGGATTACAATAATGCAAGCCGAGTGTTACGGTTACGGATTGTAAAAGTCTCGAAACCGTTCCAAAGCGGTTCTGTAGCGGTTCTAACTGAAAAATGTCAGGAAGGAACGATCTCGTAACTGTGGTATACAAGGTACAGTAATGTCTCTCTAATTGACGCTCGGATTGTCCACAAAAATGGACAATTTTGGAGGAAGAGATACGATTGTGCGAGCCTTGTGGCTCTTTTGTTATGGTTGTTGATTGTCAACAACTACAAAAACGAACTTCGAGGCTCGGATAATCGTATCTCCTCTTCCCAAATTGTCCATTTTTGTGCACAATCTGAGCGTCAATTAGGGAGACATTACTGTACGTTGGTTCTATAATTAGCTATTTTTCGGTTTTGCATTTCGACGATGGATCCCCGTTTCACGTGATAAATACGTTGCGCTTCCTTTAGGTATAAAAAAACTTCTATCGATTTTGTTATATTAAGAAATATTATTATTATTTTGTTATATTAAGAAATATTGATATTTTTGTAATATTATACAAATTATTTATATATAACCAACAAGTATTTGTAATATTATACAAATAATTTTATAGTTAAAATTGATAGGGTTTGTGAACATGTTACTTGAAATTGCCTTCGAATCGTGTCACGCGGCTTCCAAATTGTCTTCGAATCGTGGCAAAAAATTGGAAATAATTAAGTCATCCTTTTTATTCTAGCATTACTATTTATTCATATTAATGTACACCGGCATGCTGGCCTTGAATTCTTCTAATGTCTTTACAGTTTCGCATCGGACGTGTTCAAGAACGAGGAAGAAGCTCGCATAAATGAAAAATTGACGCATAAAATCCGCACTCTATTGGGTTGGCAACTAAGTAATTGCCGATTTCAGTTATAGATGTCTCTCACTCCCATTTTTATGATATCCGTATATGTTATATATTATAAAATTATTATTATTATTATTATTATTATTATTATTATTATTATTGTTATTTTTTATTATCCGTATTGGAAATGGGTAGATAAATAAAAGTAAAACGCAGTGAATTAAACTTATCCCTTTTAGTTTATTAATTTGATGTACGAGGAAGGACCGTCTTTACTCTCCTGATTGCTCCAGGAGACTGAAGACTATTCACAAAGACGAAACCAAAAACGTCACCTAAAGACAAACAGCACTCTGTTCTATATACATATGAAATCATTGTTTATCTAATGGTACTCTGGCGAGACTCTCGGCGTCGATTCGTTTTTGTAACTTATATGCTAGAAGGAAAAACTTCTGAGTATTCAAAAGAGAGAAAATAATCCAATAATCCGTGAATGTTAGCAACTGAAAAAATTGAATGCAGCGGTCAAGGAAAAGCGACCCGAATCGGTCAATCGTAAAGGTGTGATTTTCCAGCAGAACAATGCAAGGCCGCACATGTCTTTGTCCACTCGGCAAAAATTGATGGATATTGCTTGGGAATTGATGTTACACCCACCATATAGCCCTGATCTCGCGCCATCGGATTACCACTTATTTCGATCCCTGGACAACTCCCTCCGTGGTAAAACTTTTAACGATGATATCGCTGTAAAATCTCACTTAACTCAGTTTTTGGCCGAAAAGGATCGGACTTTCTACGAGCGTGGAATTTTCAAGTTGTCAGAGAGATGGCAAAAGGTCATCGAACAAAATGGAAAATACATTACAAATTAAACTTCGTTCCAAGTAAAAAAAAAAATTGCCAACCCAATAGTAATGATTTCGAACATCGTTCTATCAATCTTTTATTTGCTATTTTCCCGATAAGGATTCCGGTAATCACGGGTCCCGGCACAGTCTTACGAGCGCGATACACCGGCGTCGTTTCAACGCCGCTCGGATCGTGCTAATATCAAATCGAATAACGGGACCGGAATTGCATTATCGTGCCCGTGGAGAAGATTGCAACGATCTCTCAATTCCTTCGTCGACCCGCGAATCGGTCGATCTCCGCGGGAACCGGCCGAAATTCCCGGTTCGAATTCCAGGTTCCCGACGCGTCGACGTCGTTCCCGTACGAAACAGCGGGAGAACGAATGGCTACGGTGACGCGAAAGGACACAGGAACTCCCGGTTGTGTCGGCGTAACACAAGAGAATTACGTTACAACCGTTCGCCCCGGTTACCGGATTCTTCCGTGTCCCGGCACCCGCAATTACACTTCCGATTTCCCAACATTCGTCCGGCCGACGAACGCGATAAAAGCGCGATCCGGAATTATTTCCCTCGAGCGGATCGGGGCCGAGTCGAATCCCAGCGAATCGAACGGTGCCGGTGACCGGCGTCGAAACGCCGACGGCGCGACGCACACCGGTGGCCGACGCAACATCCCGCGGCCCCGTAATTCATTAGACGCGCGCCGATACGCAGAGATAACGAGCAACGGCGATCTCGCGCGACTCACAATTATTTACGGACCCGGAATACCAATATAAACGGGCGACTGCCGCGCGCAATTATTCTCCGAGGGCATACCGGAGTGAAAAGAATGTCCTTTATGCGGCGCCGCGATTCTACCGGCCGGTTCGTTTAAGGGAGAACAGTGGAATATCTCGGATGGAGTCGTAGTCGCGACTAAAATGTTTACACGAAAGGTTGTTCGGTAGGACGGAACACATCGTTCGGTGTTAATTTGTTTTTTTTTGTGGGCGGGGAAGTGAGAGATTTTGAGGTGAGCTCGATTTTTTTCAGACGGAATGGTATATTTTTTCATTCGGAATGGAACAGCTGATGGACAGACGAATTCGAAAAGGTATTACACGATATGATTCTGAGATCGTGTTAATAATGTACGATAGCATACAATAGCATGCGATAAGTGAGCTAGATATGTATTCGAATTGTGCATAATTTCATTCGTAGTGTCGATTTTTATTATGCCATTTTAATACCTCCGTTTGCAGTCTCGATTTCAAAACCCATTTCTTTAAATGACTAAATCATTCCTGTAATTTATATATCGAACATTTGTTCTTCTATATGTAATACTTACGTTTATGCTATATATATTATATATATTTAATGCTATTAAAAAAAAAAAAAGATAATTGCATTACTTGTTCTGTGTTCATAAAATCATATGTTGCATAGACATAAAGCCTGAAGATTAGTTTTTCACTGTGGTTTTTAAATTGGTTTCCAACTTATATATTTAATATTTGTATTTTATGTCCATTTTTATTTAGAAACGTTGACAGAAAATTAATTCTATTATTTATTATACGTTAATAAGATTACATG